CATTTGACCTTAAACTGGGACTGAAAACTGGGCCTCAAGCATCACTTGCCCTTTAGAACAAGTTAATAGTCGTGTGGTAGTTTTTGGATGGAAAAATGATAACAGCTTCTGCAGAATGCGAATGGAGACAGGATGGAGAGCATTAGGACATTCAGCCAGGTAAAAATTAAACCTCAAAAACTGCTATACAAACTCTTTTCATTCAAGAAACGTCTTTCCCCAATTATTTTTACTTTCAAGGTGCCCTCGTGGCCCGGCCAGAATACTGTGATATTAATATTTTATGACTTATCTGCGGTTAATTCAAATCCAGTAATAAACACTTTGAGCACGTGCGCTTGATTTGCGACGAAAAACACTCTTGGAGCTGTGTTTGCAGGCGGTAAACATGTATAATTGAAGTCGCATTTAAAAAGTTTTCTTAGGCAAGAGAGAAGGTATTTGAAAAGTCTGGAAGAAGTTGGCAAGAATACGGTTACATTTGCAGTTGTTGTTGGTGTTGATGTTGCATTCACCGTGAAAATAGGTGTAAATGTGCGCACAAGTGCATCCAATTTTCTCATAAAAGAGCGAAAAAAGAAAATCTTAATCAGAATATTAAGGCGAATGTAATTACCTGGCCCGGGACACAACCTAACCTTCATCACTTATGTGACCGTTCATTGTAAAGAGAAAAAAAAAAGATCTAGGAATTTAAAGAAGTCTTTAAGTCTGTAAGAGAATACAAGTTAAAACCTCTTGCTTGAAAAATTTCAAAAGTGAGACTTGTGTGTTTTGCTGTTGCTAAGTACTGAACTGGTGTCAAGTATTTGAAAGCCTGTTGAAACTTGAGCCACCTTATTTTGCAATAACTTTTGGGTGGTGTAAATAAGATACACCATGATATGTTACTATTTTATTCCGTGTAATAAGAACCTTTTGTTTTTGTGACTCACAGCATGTACAGCCCCTTTTTCAATTAGTGCACTCTCACTAGCCTAATACTTGGCTAGGAATATGCTTTTTCCATTTTCTTTTCACTGTGTTTATGTAAGAAGGATGCAAATGTATCTAATTTACCAGTCTCAACCAATCAAATGCTGGCAAAACTATTATAACTTGTAACTAGGTCAGTCATGGTTTACTGCACTTTCTTTAAGTTCTCAGTAGGTCCTTTTGTATTTTCCTTTATACTGGACTTAACCTTTTGGATTATTTTAGTTGCTTAGGGTTTGGTTTATTTAGTGGGACATGGAGGGTTCAAAATAATGCAATGCTGCAAACGGAAGAGAACAAACACCTCATCTCTACAAGAAATATTATCAACACACCGACACTGCAATAGAAAAAAAGTCTCAGGACTTACCTGGTCTGGTTTTACTCATCTTTACTGTGTGCTGGTCTTTGGCTGGCCGATAGTGCATGTGATAGAGGTTCAGAGGTCGATTATAATATAAACAAACCTGGCTTGGGGTCAATCAGCTAATTCTTATTATAACATAACCAAAGTAAAGCACGCACTCTGATTGGTCAATTTAGCGTCCCCCATTTGCCTATGGGTGTACGCTGCTGATGTGAGCAAATGCAAAGACTATTTTTCCACACGCGCTTGTTTTTTCTGGCCACGTAAGATTTGTTAAATAAAAGGGAACTCTTTAGCTATAATGTATCAATGTTATGTTATAAAACAAATGGTAAACACCACAGGGTACACTATTGAGTGCACTATGGATGCACTTGGGAGGTTTGCTAAGCACTCAAGAAGCTAGAGTCGCTCTCGGCTATCACCTCGAGCAACTCTTACGCTTCTTTCATGCTTAGCAACCTCCGGCGTGCATCCATAACTCAATAGTGTATGCTGTGGTGTTTACCATTTGTTAGTTCAAGACTCACTCGGATGTTACATGTATTGCTATTTTGTTGTACAATCAGCTACAGGTTATTAAACTGCATTAATTATTTCATTGAACACCTTCAGTTTGAAATTACAAACATGTTACACTGTAAGGTTCGAGATCACTGCAACACTGCAGTGCTGGTTCTTCTTCACTGCAATACCACACTAATAAAAGATTTCAGTTTGCACATCCATCTCTTTTTGCCTGCTTTTTTTTTTTTTATTTGTCATGGATAGGTTTGTTATGTTGTCCTCTACTTGTTTAGAATGGCTACTTAAAGAGGCAACTCTCAAATAAAACTAAGAATTAACTTTCAAGTCAAATTTATTGCATGTTTATCTTCCAAAATTGGTGGTAGCACTTTGAGTTCAAAATATTTCCACAACTTATTGCATTTTATATTTCTTCTTTGGACTGGTTGGACAAAATATTAAGCATGAACATCACACAAACCATTTGTTGGTCAACCTATATCAAGAAATCAACCTGTATTAAGGATGGCACCTGCTATTGCCCCCAAACACTCGAGCTGTGCATCACATCATGGTAATGCTTGCTCTTGCATGAAAGGAAAAACTCTTCTCCCTGTGATAACAATGCAAGTGACCAGCTGTGGTGGAAGGGATGTCTACCCCTATAATTTAGGGGTCAAATTGGTTTAATCTTGCTGCCTTTGGTTTAATTAAAAAACCAAATTTTTTAGAGAATTAGTCCCCATGAACAACAAGAAGAAAATGAGAAATATTTTACCCATTTATTCCTTAGTGGTTTGCTTGCTTATGTGGAAAGAAAACACAAAAGACAGCAAAAAAGAAAACAGTGCACAGTAATTTTTTTTGAAGTCATATTTTCTCAAAAACAAATTCTGATGAAAGAAGACCATTTAAATAACTTCATAGATGCTTATAAAGTTTACTCAGAAGTCAAGTTAAAATGCAAACACGAAATCACTGAATTTTTACACATTTATCCATGTGGATAGGAAGCAAGACGGGTGAATAATTTCTTCAAAATGATCAATCTTGTCGCTATTTTGCTTCTGAGGATGGTAAGCAGTTGCTTTCTTGCTTATATGTAGAAATTTTCTAGTTTTATGCAGAAAAATGCCTGAAGGATGTGGAGGATGTGGAAGTAGGTGAATTATGCGGATCCGCACCGCCACATCCTGTCAGATGCCCTGTTTCTTTTTTGTTTGAATTTTCATCGAACTTTTGTGGAAACTTCAGTGTCATTTTGCTAGAACAAAGAGCATTATTTCTTCAGTTTTCTTATGGAATGAAAGTTCATGATGAAAAGGTTGAGGAAGACAAAACAATTCTACACACTTCATGCTTGATCCACCTGTCATGTAATGAACACAAAACAAGAGATCATAATATCTTGTCACAAAAAGGTTTCAAACGCTTGCATGAACTGTGTCCATTTTGTTTTGATTCGAGCTAGGATGCGTTTTGACAGCATAAAATTGGGGATTACAGAAAGAGGCAGAGCCACCCCTGTAGAAAAAGAAATCTAAATCAAACTTGTCTAAATGAGTTTTCCCATAATCAACACTAGCTATAAAAATGCATGTTATTACCCCACCTCAGTTTTCATGTGGTCAGGCATAGTAATGTTTGTCTTGCTATTCTTGTTAAAATTTAGAGTTAAGAGATTTGCATTGTTTTACAGAGATTAGTATGGTTTCATTCCTAGTTTTTAAGCAAGGCGTTTGGGAATATGGCATCTACAGTTTTCTTTCAGATTTGATTTTAGTTAACTTCTCAGTTGCAACCTTTGAAGTCTTGGTGTCACAGGGTTGAGCTGTAGCGACTGATTATTATGATTTTGGTAATGTATGGGTAAACACACATATTTTTTTCCCCACAAACTGTATTGTAATGGAAAGCATCTACTTCTAAAGAATTAGAAAGACAGGTTTCTCAACTGAGGTTTGTCTTGCAGTGAGAGATTTATCTGGTGGCTTGGCTTTTGAACTCAATCCTACACTGTATCTGTTGCTTTTGAACTCAATCTGATCTACTGCTTAATTTATCCCTGCAGTAATTGCAGTTTTACAACATTCCATTTGTCCTTCTAAACAAATATTTGTATGTAACCTCTTCTTTTAAAAATTGCTTGGTTAAGATTATCCTTTCTTTTTCTGATGCACTGCATTCATTGGAATTGGATGACTGAGATGCAAACTTCAGAACAGGTT